CCAACCTTTAAGATAAAGGTCTTTTCCAACCTTGATGATTCTGTGATTCTCTGAAAATGAGGGAAAAAAAAAAAAGCTGCTTTGGGGAATCTAGCAGAGGTGAAAGAGACCAGTCCAAAAAGGCAGAAAGCCAAACCCCAATCATATTCTCCAATTTAATGGATGATAGCCAGCAATCTAAACTTTCCTCACAGTTTCCTACTGGTCTACTTCAGACCAGAAATGGAGGTGAGATTCTGGATGAGAGACATTGGCTACTGTGTTTTCTCCACATGTTGGCTACCAAGTCTGTGAACCAGGGGCCTGAACAGTCCCATGCATAACCCCACTGGAGTCAGTAGAGTCCTGCCCCGGGAACTTAGCTTGTCTCTTGCTGCTGTGATCTGCAGTAATAGTTTTCCTCATGTGGAACTGTGTTTACAGACACCAGACTCAACTGGCCTTGCACAAGCCATCATCATCACCTCCTGTTGACCTTGCAAAGCATGGGACATCAAGCCACTGCTCTGTGTTTTCATAACCCTGCAGTAATTAATGCCTGGCATCTATAATGGAAATAAAGTGCATAACATCAGAGTTTCTAAGATGACACTGTTTTCATTGTATGTTTAATTTTTCAAAGAACATAAAGGCAGATACATCAAAATACCAAGGATTCTTTTTTAAAGCCTCTTTTTTCTTTTCTTCTCAAGATATGCAAATGGATTGAGTCATTAAAGAGAAAGATAAAAGGAACCCCAAACACTGTTTATACATAGCCTTTGTGACTGCAGCTACTTATTTTGCAGGAAACATTATTTTGACTGGAGCAAGTTATAGTGCAGCTTGATGTAACTCAAGGCTGCTTTGCAGTGCTAGAGGCAGACAGCAACTGGAAGGATACCTTACCTAGTTTTGGGAGGTTTCACCTCACAGCATAGATCCTGCAGCCAGATTTCATGCAGGGCTCTGCCAGAGGTGGCATTCTTACACCCCCAATGACATTCAGCTGTTTACGATTATGCTTTGGGTTACTCGGACCAGGTTTGGAGGAAAACAAGAGAGTGAATTACAGCTGGTTCCCCTCTTCTGCGATGAAGCTTCCTCTGCTATAGCTTAATACGCACGCTATGTGTCATTGTATACCATTGATATGATGTACCTTACACAAGGTACATATAATGTACCTTCTCTTCAGAACAGCAGTGCCATTATTCTTGGGAAAGGGGCACAGCTGGCAGCAGGTGAAAAGTTGTCTCTGTCCAAATCACTGGCAAACATCTCCCAGACCTCTTAGCTCAAAATTTTACCTGAGAAGCTTGGGGTCAAGATCCATGTTATTTAGTTGGTTGGGCAGAGTTTAGGTGGTGGGTTTCACTGAGGTCATTTAATAACCCTGGCACTGTAGCTATTTTGATCAGCCTTGAAATAGTTAGCAAGGACATTTGATTCTGTGCTTAACTGTAGAAGCTGCCCAACCTCCCGACTCCAGGTCTAGCAGCCAAAGAAATTCAAATAAACTGATCCAAATGCTGAAGTGCTTATTCAGGCAAAATTCACTGTTTGTTTTCCTTAAACAAAGATTAAATAAAAACTGAATCAGGACTTCTGGAACTGGGCCCTTAAAAGCTGGAAGACAACACTTCAGAGACAACTAACGGAAGATCAATGCATGAGTTCAGTACGGAGAGCACTATTTTTTAATTTTTATTTTTAATTTTTTCTTATATATTATCTACAAGCACAAGCTTCCATATTTTTAATGTAAAAATGCATACAGATCATTATATATATAAAAATCAACTAGCCTTGTAGCAAACTGCCAGATGCAACTATCCCCAGGTTTGGGGACAACTTGTCTGGATCCAGGTGCAAACCCAGTGGCTGATGCTCACTTCCATCTGTGGTTGCACCGAACCCCGAGATGTGAAGATTCTCAAAGTTCTAGGGAAGTCTTGGGTCCTGATCCAGGTCTTGCAGCATGGGCATGACTAACTCTTCAACAATTGAAGATAAATATTTAAAAACTTCATAAATGACAATCAACTTGTTGTAGGTAACAAGTATCCATTTCACCTTGCCGCCCCCTTTTTGCTTATCGTCTTTCCCATCTTTTCTCCACAGAAATTATAATGGGCAGAGGAGAGGAATTTAATGTTAGTGTCATGCATGTACATTTAAATAGCAGCAGTAGAAACAGAATTTAAACTGTTGATGTCTGCTGCGGAAAGACTACTGAAAGTGGGTTCATGTTGCATTTGGCCATTTCAATGCTTGGGCACTTTTTTTGGCTCAATTTGCACATTGTAGAAACATGACACATTTGTAGTATAGCCAATAATATGTTGCAACAGTGTGAGCAACAGTAAATCAGATTGCATTTAATACAATGTAATATGTAACAACAGATTATAATATACTATATTATAACTGGCTTGACAAGCAGCCCATTACACTGAGGAAAAAAATTAATGAGCAATTAAGTAAAGAAATTTGTGTTTCTGTGGGAGGAAAGGTCACAAAATAGTAGCCTCCTTTTTGACTGAGTGTTTATCATGTTCGGCAGTTTCCAAATTCAGTCTTTGCAAAGGAATGTTACTATTTTTATTAGAGGTTCTTTATGTAACAAGTCATGTTTTCACAGTGGAACATTTTCTTTCACCAGGATTTTATAACTTCTCCGTACAGACATTATAAAAGAAGATATAATTTGCTGGGATTCTTTTGGAAAGTATTGGGGTCATAACTTAGCCTCTCCTTCCTGTCAACTCTCCTAATATGAATACGATTGATTTATTTTCTCTTGTAATTAATATACTACCTTTTTTGTATTTTAAATGCAGCTTTACTCTGAAACCCAAGAAAGGTTTTCAGAGGAAAGAACTGCTGAAGTTGTCTTACAGAGGGATAAATCAATTGCTTAGAATACCGACATAATGAGTTTCCTCATCAGCTATGTTGCCATGGGGTTGCAGGTAAGGATTTTGTTTACTTCAGATTTGTGCAACAGCACTGATTTGGAAGATAACAGAATGACTTTGTGAAATGCTCTCTCTGGCTCCTGATGTTGTAAGATACATGTTTGCAAGTTCAGACCTTCAGCTTATGACTGCTGGTGCATGAAGAGGCACTAGCTCTTTCTTTTACACTCTTATTGATTCTGCATTACTAATAGGACTAAAAATGGCAAAACTCTTTTTTTTTTTTTTTTAAACAAAAGTTAGAGATAAGACCAATAGTTTGGGAACAGGTGTGTCATGGAGATAGTGACATCACCTGTTGCAAGAACCTCCTGCCCAGAAGCACATGGTGAAGTTTCCATTGCAGTGTGTGTAGCTAGTGTATGGCAACATATCTGAACATGAGGACCAAAATATAGATATTGATTCCAGAAGAGTGGAATGAATTTTTGCTATCTAGAATGGGGGGAAACAGAGAAAATAAACAACAGTACAAATAAAAAATACACCTGAATGTGATGTTCTTTTATGCTGGTTGGGTAAAAGATATGGGTGAGAGAACGTTTAAAAAAATTTACTTTGGCAAAATCTCTTTAAGTGAGTCCTTTTGAAAAGTCCTGACTTGGGACTCTTCTCTGTCCATAGGGATATACTGACTTGATTCTCCAGACAGTTCCACCTCTTATGTGGCTACCTATAACTGTATAAAATGCTATCCAGCCAGATATCCTCACTCTCCTACATCTGTGGCAATTTGCGTTCGATAGCCTTTTGGTGTTACTTCCTCACAGAGGCAAATAACCATACGAAGTACAAAGCAGTGGAGAATAAAGTTGTAAGTAGTTGCTACAAGAGGTCTGTTCCTCAAAGGAGAATACTGCTAATATTCCCATTTGTCTCCCAACCTTTGGCTGTGGTTCTACATGATGCCAGTCTGAGCTTCACACCACGCTGCCTAGAAGGGATGCAACACAACTGGTGGGAGATGAGCACAATCTGAATGAAAGTCATTCAATCTTGGTTCTTGCATCTCTTCGCATACAGTTAACAAGCCAAGTAACAAGGCAAAACTTGACAGCTGGCTTAAATGAGATGCATGAGGGAGGAGAAGGGAGGAGAAAAAACTGGATACCTTTTATCCCAGGCCCGAAAATCTGATAAAATGCACTTTCAATTGAAGATGCCAGATAGAGTCACAAAAAACTGCACTGGTTTAAACCACAGAGTGCTTCAAGCAAATCTGGAAGTTTAAACAGCTGGAAATTATGGCCTTTTGATATGGTAAAGGCCATTCACATCTGATTTACATTTGGGCTTAGACTTTAAATGCTTGCCTTTGCATGGATTTAGTTCTTCTTCAGTATAAAATTGAGTAAGAGGAACTACTTGAATTCAAATAAGACCAAAACAAAAATGTAAACAAAAGCTAAAAACTACCCATAACTAAATCAATAGTAATATGGTTATTTTTTCAGTTTCATTTCCCAACACATACACTCCCGTTTCCTCAAGCACAGGACTGCACTTCGAGGGGGAAATGCTGAAGTGCCACTGGACTAGCTGATCATTTCTTGATGAACTCTGCATTTTCAGAGGATCTGGAAAAGCAGCTGAATTTCAGCTCTGTTGAAATATGTGTCTTGCTGGCTAAACGCTCCATGAAAAAGACCCTTCCCATATTTTTTGCATACCTCGCTAAGAACATCAGCACTCAATAGATTTGGCAAAAATAACAACAAGGAAAGACAGTTTGTAGTAAAAGCACACAATGCGCCAATTTGGAGCTGGTGAAAGGTGTCAGATGCACTTTCCGGTAAAACACAGCAGCCTCTATGTATATTCAGTCCTTGAGAACACCAGTTGTGATGGTTGTTGATGGTCTGAGGACTGAATCTTACTCTCCAATGGCTACTGAGCAGCTGGCTGGCTGGAAATGATGTTTAGGCACTACTGACTTGCAGGGGATTGGAGCCAGCCTTGTAGAAGCAGAAGACACTCTGTCAGTGCCAATCCCCACAATCATCTAGTCCTTTGGAGTTTGCTTTTTTTCCTTTTTTTTTTCCCCACATTAGCCAGAAGCAGTGTGGCTAAATACATCTTGAAACAGGAAAAAAGTCTGACCCTGTGTTACTCAAAAAAGTGGTGTGGTTTGTCTTTTCTATTTTTTTAATTGCAAAGCTTTGACCATTTTTAATTAAATGTGCTCTGCCTGCCTCATCCCTACTTCAAGCTAATATGCTCTAAAATGCTTCTCTGGCTTAGTACAGCTCTTTTTAGCTGCTGATTTTGGTAAGCATCTTATTAATTGCCTGCTTGACGTGGGTGGTGGAGCTTCGTCTCCGAGTCTTGCCCTGCACCATCTTTCGACGCCGTACCTCACGACAGAGCTCATAGAAGGCCTCCATAATGTTGCCCTCTCCTGTGCAAGCAGAGCACTCATAAAAAGCACATGCTAGTTCTGTGGCCAGCTTTTCACCTTCCTCTGTGCTGACCTGCCTGGAGTGATCCAAGTCTGCTTTGTTCCCCACCAGAATCAGGGTGACATTTTTGGGTTTTTTAACTTCATCCAACAAGTTCTTAAGTGGCAGCACTTCCTCAAAGCTGCCTCTGTCTGTGATGTCGTAAACCAGCACGAAGCCTTCACCCCATCGCACATGTCCTTCTTTCTGAATAGCATCCTCCTGTTTTGAAAAGACAGACACCAGCCTTAGGAATTTGATTTATGAAGAAGACACCAGGCCTTCAGATAGATGTTGATCCTCCAAAGCCTGCAAAGCTATGTACATCTGCTTTACTTTATGCACATCTTTTTTATCACGTAGCATAGGAGATCTACCAGGGTGTCATGGGCTGCCTGTGGGCAGGCTGGTAGCAGGCAATTGGAACAGGGTCTCTGGTGGATGATATCCAGCACATGAACTGCACAGGACTGCAGCGTGAGCATCTGCCATGCTTTGAAAGGAAGAGGAACCTGGCTATGGTAAAACTGCTCTTTGCTTTGATGGGAATCATTGACTGAGGCTGTCAGGCCTCATCACTTGACTGTAGAAATAGACTGTGACTTCATACATAATAATAACATGTTGTTGGGTTGGCCCTGAGCCAAGGAATGAGAACAAAATCATTTTAATCCCAGAGTAAACCCTGAGTTTGTTTGTTCTTCCAGTGTTTGAAAACTCTAAGCAGGGTCCCTTGCAGAAGGGTCTGGATTTAGCATGCTGGGGCCAGCAGCAAACTGATGGTGGTGGAGGGGGATCTCTGCTCAGAAGCAAATCTCTGTCCCCACAAGCAGAGCACACCTGCCACCCACCACACTGCTGTCACCACTGCACTCCCCTTCCCTGCTGTCTATCTGAGCCAAGGTATTGGATAATAGTACATGTACCCACGCACCTGACCAGCTGTATCTAGTATCTCCATGGAAACCACTTCATCATCAATGGTAGCTTGGTGACGATATGTAGACTCTAAAATAAGAACACATTTGGTGAAATGTATTAAAAGAAGGTAACTCTTTTGTGTCTTACAGCTACCCCAGCACAAGACCTGAGACGTGACATACAGCTTCACTAAAGTTTATCTGTTGGAGCTCTTCCAGCCATTCCGGAGCACACCCAAGTCTTCCTTTCTACAGTGGTGACTATTTTACCTCTCCCCATATGGCACAACTCTTTCTTCCCCACGTCTTATACCTACAAAGGGCTGTGCCTGTGGATGCTGCACTCTGCACCCAACAAAAGCGCAGAGTTTCCTGCGGCAAAGATCTCTGCAAGGCTGCAGCCCATTTTTCTTGTTTGCTCATAGGGAAGGCTGCCATCCATGAAACAAATACTGCTGTTCTCAAAGTAGTCAGCTCAAAAGACCGTCACTGCGTAGCTTGAAGACTGACAAGATCAAAAACAGTATAGTTGCAGATCAGGGAACCTAACCACTAAGCTCAGGCCTTATACTGTGATAAAATTACAGAACAGTTAGCTATTTTAGGAATGTCTCTTCAAAACACACTGAAATCATCACATTCCTCTCTTCTAGCAAGGGCTCAAGCAGTGATTTCCCGGTGTATGATTTATAAGGATAACCAGTGGGCACTAAGCATTCACCTATACTACAGGCAGAAAAGGAACCTATTTATTGTGTCCCATGTTCTAGAACCAGGCAACTAATCAGAATGCTAATGACAAAAGGGCTTGTTTTATCTTAATGAGCTGATAAGTTAAATTTGATAGCATTTGACCTAAAACTTGGAAAATTATCTGTGCTAACCTTCGGATTTATTACTGTTGCTAGCTCACAGATGTCCTATATCAAAAGGCAAATGTGTACGCTCTAAGACTGTGGCCAGTGACTATGTACGTTTTGCATTGTCAGAGACACAGTTATTTTATTTGGTGCAAATCTCCTCAATAGGAAGGAAGGATATCTTTAAGAAAACACATTTCTTGAATTTGAACTTCTGAAAGGGCTCGTGTTTGGTGAATGCCTTTTTTCATTACATACTTGTATGTAATGACACCTCTTCAATAGTGATGAATGTTTCAATGCTGTCAGTGCTGCAAACACTCTCTTCCCAAACCAAAAATGTCACTTCCCTCCTGTGCCACCTTAATTGCTTTAAGAAGCACAGCTGCCTCTAACAGGGACAAATGGCCAATTTAATTAGGCAGATGGCAAGCAATCTTGCTGCAGGGTTTCAGGCAATGAAGACCAGGGATTTTTAAGGCTGTAAATACCCTTTCTGCTTAGTGTTGCAAGGCTTTTGAAGAAGTTGGAGTTCCACTTTTGTGATCCTGAGGCTACACCCACACCGCAGAGTAAGATTCAGCTGAGTCTCTCAGTGGTGTGTCTTACCTGTCCCTTCTGCACGCCCTCCTAGCTGCAGCAAACCCCCCAGGGGAACAGAAAAGGCAGGAGCTCTGGTTTGGTGTGGAAGCTGCAATGATGCACCTTCAGCAAGTTATTTCAGTGGTTAAAATGCTTGGTGCCAGGCTGGGGCTCCCTGTGTAGCATTCCACATCCAAGGTCACATAAGATCTATGCTTTGTTTCTGGGGATGGGGGGGAGTGCTGTGAAGAAGAGATGGCTCTCTGATTGAGTAATGTCATATTAGCTCCTTACTTCTTTAGGCCTTGCAATGCTTAAATGCCTTCAACCATCTGGCCCTGCTCAACAAGTAACTGTTGAGAATCGGTCCACGCAACTTGAAAAAGTGCTCATCCAACCATGTTTGCAGCGTATCTGTGAAATGTCCTCCTTAGGAGGCAGAGTGTGGTAGGCCATACGGCTCTCCCTTGTGAAATGGGAGAATAAATCTCAAGGAGTAGACTTATGCTCACTGTGGAAAAACAGCATGGTTCTTAAATGATACCCAAGTTCTCAAAATAGGAATCTGGCAGCACTTTATGTTGCAAGTTTAACTCGCTTTGGCTGCTCATGTTGGGAGGGAATTTGATCCTGGACGAGTAGCACTGATTTGGGTCAGATTAGCGTAAATATATCTTAGTAAATGTGTTTCTGTTCCCGTGCTTTGGAATGTGTGGTAGCTGGGTGAATTTTAATGAGGAGTGTAAAACAGCTGGATGCTTAAAGCAATTTTTGGTGTAATCACAGACACAGTTTCTCCTTCAAGGGAACAGAAGCATTTGAAGAATGTGGTTGTCTTGTAAGTTATAAGCACTGAAGTTGTGCTTTCCAGTCTGTTCAAATCAATCCCACGGTACTTCACAAATGCATTGCCTGGCTTCGGAATTTATTAATACCATTTTCCCTGTGACACTTTGTTTTATGAGACATGCATCTAGAGAAAAATACGATGATTTCAGATGCCTGCTGGATCCCTAACTGAAACTATCGACGATGCAGATTGTGTTTCAGCTAAGCACCCTTGACTCCTATTAGGATGGATGAAGTAAAATAAGTGCTGGATATAGCTTGTCTGTTCTCTCTCCTGGGATGAATCACACCTCAAAAGCACTTAGAAGTCTAAAATTGGTCAGATTAATCCAGGCTGTAAATGTCTTATCCGTGCATTGCCATGGTCAAGTAAAAAGAGCAAAGTATAACACTCTGTGCCGGCAGCCCTCCTGATATAGGCTCCCAAGATGACTATAGGCAACTTTCTGAGCTTCAGAATATAATTTGCACCAGGTGATGCCTATATATTATAACTACAGCTACCTGGCTAAAACCTCATAGGTAGAAAAGCAACCTTAGAGCTGTGTTTTACTCTTCGTAGACTCGGTGTCAAAACCGCTAGCCTCAAAGCAGAGCGAGGGAGCTGCTGCTGCTGACCAAGCCATGGTGTGCCTGACACTGTCTGTGCTGTGGAAATAGTCACATCTGGTCGTTCACTCTGTTTCAATGTAAGTAAATCTGACCTGTTCTTGTTGGTTTGGAGGTGTGCTATTCTTCTAAATACACAAGATCAAAGGTGCTGATAGAGTGTGGCTTTGGAAACTGATGTCAGATTGCAGGGTCCCACTCTTGGTTCTGAGAGTCCCATCATTTGAAAAATTTAAGTTTATTCTGGAAACATTTAGAGCTGTCAAAAGGCCTGAGAAACATGTTGGAAAGTGGTAGCGGTTGGTTTAAGTCTCTAATACACTGCCACAATAATTCATTAATAGGAACTGGATAAAATTTTCAAATGACCACAGCTGCTGAATAATTACGGAAATAATGATTTGGGGACAAAAAAAATTAAAAAAACTCCCCTGGGCCTTTCTATGTTGGTTGATAAGCATGTTACAAATCTCCCTGTTCTTCTGAAAAATATGACTTTAAAAAATGAAGAAAAAAACCCCGTGAAACATATGGAGAAAACTTTGAAGGCACACGATCCACAGACTGTCCATGGATATGATGTTAAGTCACAGTTTGACCACATCACATCGTTGCGCTATGTTTATTGTGACACATTTAATAGAGTTTTGGCCTCTTAGACTTAGTCATTTACCAAACCTGTATGTCCAGGACTATCCTGATCTATTGAATATATCTGTTATATATTTTCTAGAGAAAAGCTACTATCTGAGAAGTAATTGCTAGATCTTGGTCTATTTGCAGTGATGTAAAGATCTGTTTTCAGTACTTGTTTAGTTAGAACAGGCAATTTATATCAGGGATATGTCACAGTTCTGGGAGGAAATATTTGCATCAGAAAGGTTTATTGCTTGAGGCAAAACACTTGTAGTAGGAGTTGGCAAATCAGCTGAGATGGAACAATGACACACACCATTTTACATGTAAATTTGAGGAACAGCCTGGTCTCTTTTGTTTGCTTTCAAGTACAGAGGGACACAAACTTTGTTTCCATTCAGAATTTTAGTTGATTTTGGTCAAGAAAGGTTAATAAAACAGGGACATACAAAAATGCTCTAAGAAACTTTGGTCTCATGGTGGCTTTCAGCCAGTTGGATCTGAGAACTGCAAGAGACCTACAGAAAGAGCTTTTGTGTAATAATTACAGCTGAATTTCCAGACCAAAAACTACAGCTAATACGCATGAACTTCTAAGTTATGGTTAAAGTCTTGTTTGATGGCAATGCAGCAGTATGTTTAAGAGACTAAAATTTCTCATCATTATTTCTGATTACATAATAAAGCTGGGGGTTTTTTAATTAAACAAACTCCCTTAGACTTCTGCAATCTTTGCTATCCATCAGGATGGCACCTGTCTCTATCACGAGAGAACAGTGACTCTGACAAGCCCATGGGGAAAACAGTTTGCCTGATTTACTAACCCTGGTGATGTTTGGTATGTTCTCTAGAGCCTTCTTTCAGCCTGGCTTTGTAAAATCTGACCCCCTCTGCATTTCCTTGCTGCTTCAGGAACTTTTCACCTTTTAGAAAGCCCTGTAAGTTGAATGTACTTTCCTGACTCCATGCCTCCTGCCTTCTTCCTTCCCCCACCCCAGCCCTTCTCAAAATCCAGATGAATGTGTTTTTTTCTTGCTTGAATCTTACTTACTCCATCCATTATTTACGTTACAGGAGGGTTTTTGTTCTGCAACCGTCAGTGGTTTTACAGTAACCACAGTACTGCCCTTGTGTATTTACAATATATTTCTAATGCTAATGCAGTATATCCTCATGTCTTTTTATTAACTGATATTACAGACCCAAAGACAAGCATAGGTGGGTTATTTATCAATAATACCATCAAATGATATGCCATTGTTATGGCAATTGTTATTGTCATGTGTAAAAGAAGAAAAAGTAGTAAAAAGAAAATTACTGAAACGAAACTGTGACTCTGACAGATCTGATGGTTGGACTTGGACTCTTCAGTGTCCTAAGTGTTTCTGCACATGTAACCCCAAGAGTCTGGAAATACAGAAGGAAAAGTTCCAGGAGGTTGTACAATACCTGTGATGTGCTTTGTATGTATGACTATCGCACTACATGAACATTCACGTCAAGCTACAAATTTAAACCAAAATGTGTATGAAAGGAGAAGGTATCTGTTTGT